CTCACCCCGAGGGTGAACAGCAGCCCCAGGGGCCTCATTTTATGACTTTTCAAGAGAAGCTACAAGCAAGGTTTATACTTCCAGGTCCCTAGTTTTCAAACGTTGACAACCTAGAATGTTTAAAATACCACACTCTGCAGGCCAACGATAGTCGCCAGTTTTTTCTTTGACAGAGAATCCATGAGACAGAAGGGGCAAAGTCCTAGTTGCTCGGCTCATCTGGGGTACCTGAGAGGTAGGACTTCCCTAGGGCTCCATGGGGGACTGTGATTCTCCTGAGGTAAATCACCATAACCAATTTGAATGCCGATGTGCCTCTGTGTTTGCAACACTTAAATAAGAGTCATGACACGGGTGCCTGGGTGTCTCAGTCAGTTAAGCATCCGACTTTGGCTCAGGTCATGATTTCCCGGTTCACGGGTTCGAGCCCCGCGTTGGGCTCTGTGCTGAGAGCTCAGAACCTGGAACCTGCTTCGGATTCTCTGTCGCCCTCTTTCTCTGCCCCTCCCCAGCTCGTGCTCTGTCTCTCTCAAAATAAATATTTAACTAACTAGAGTCATGACAGTCATTCCAATAATGACAAAAAATACCAAAAATGAATGAAATGTTGTGTTCTGGATTTTTTTTTTTTAATGCTGGTTTGGGGGGCGGGGGAAATTCAGTTCATACCAAAACATCCCGCGGGCCCTTGAACTTGTGGAGTACAGGGAGGGAGGGGGAAAGATTCAGTCCTGCTCACTCACATCTCCCCGGCGCCTCTCCACCCACGCTAAGAGGCACTGGGCTGATGCCACCCAGAGGGACAGGAAGTGGACTCTGAAGAAGTGAGGTAGGGGGAGCTCTGGCCCTGACAGAGGAGAGACTCTGCTAGGGCCCCAGTGAGCTGACTGAGTATGGCACAGCCTGCCCCACTGAGCGTCCTGTCCTCCAAATATACAGCCAGGGATCCGGCAGGCATGCTCCTTGCTGCATACTCAGATGAGTTGAAAACTCAAGTCCACCCAAAAACCTGCTCAGGGAGGTCTCTAGCAGCTTTACTCATAATTGTCCCAAATCGGAAGCACCCAAGACACCCCTCAGTGGGTGAGTGGATGAGTAGACGGCGGTACATTCCAGCGATGGAGCGTTATTCAGCACAGAAAGGACATGAGTTATCAAGCCGTGAAAAAGCCTAGAGGAATCTTAAATACGTATTACTCAGCGAAAGAAGCTGGTCTGAAAAGGCTATGTACTGCCTGATGCCGACTATATGACATTCTGGAAAAGGCAAAACTACAGACACAGTAAAAAGATCCGTGGTTGCCAAAGTTTACAGGGGAGGGAGGTGTTATCTATTTTTGAGAGAGAGAGAGGGAGCAGGGGAAGGGCGGAGAAAGAGAGGGAGACAGAGAGAATCCCCAGCAGGTTCCATGCTGTCAGCGCAGAGCTCACTCAATGCAGGGCTCGAAGTCACAAACCCTGAGATCATGACCTGAGCTGAAATCAAGAGTCGGACGCTTAACCAACTGAGCCACCCGGGTGCCCCAAGCACAGAGATTTTTTAGGGCCGTGAAACTGTTTTGTAGCAGACTGTAATGGTGTTACCCGTCATTATACATTTTTCCAAACCCAAGAGTGAACCCTATGTAAGCTACGGGCTTTGAGTGATGATGACGTGTCGGGGTACCTTCAGAGATTACAACACATATATCATCCTGGCGCAGGATGTTGACAGTGGAGGGGGCTGTGTGTCGAGGCATGGCGAGGAGTATGTGGGAACTGTCTGTATTTTCTGCTTAATTTTGCCATGAACCTAAAACTACTCTAAAAATTTAAGTCCATAAAATATATATATATATATATACACACACACACACACACACACACACACACACACACACACACACAAGCAAGACCCTTTTTGGAGCACACAAAACTTGCCCAACAGTGCCTCCTAGCACTCACAAACCATAAACGTTCTTAGCATCGGGCTTCCAGATTAAGTATCGCAGAGCAAGAGACTGGGGGAAATCTTGCTTCTTTGAGCCACACTCATCCATAACCCACGCATGTTGGGGGTTAGAGGGACAGGAAAGGGAGGGAAAGAAAGGCAGGCTGAGGCTGGCGTTTGCCAAGCCCTGGCCCTGGTTGTTAGCCAGGCTCCCAGGTTTCCAGGCAGGCCAGATACTGGCTTGTACTAGAGGTTCTCAAAGGCCCGCCGAGGTGGAGCAGAGAAACCCCTGGGCTTTATTTAAAGGTGTTGGAGGCATCCCGTGGTCTGCAGCAAGCCTGTCAGCAGCGGGGTTTGCCTTGAAGGATTGAACCACAGTGGTCCTGGGCCTCAAGTAGAAACCCAGAGGGTAGCATATGCCCATCTTAGGAACAGGTCCGCTGGCGGCCGGCAGGGAGGCAGACACGCAGAGGGCAACACTTACACAGCGTGGACGCTCTGAGTCGATGGCCGCCAAACAGAAATAGCCACGCGCTAGGCCACCGGGTGACAACTTGAGCGGAGGCCTCGTTGGTGATTTACGCTTCGGGAGGTGACACGGTCCCAGGGAGCCTCTGGCAAACCGCTTGGAGAGAGAGCTCTGGAGGCAGGATTTCTCATTTTCTCTTCACTTCTTCATTTTCATGATATAGTGCCCCCCCGGGGCCGAGGGAAAGGGGAAAATGCTTTTTATATTATAGTAGTGGCCATGTGGAAAAGACATATTTCCCACGACATTCGGTTTGGAATGAAGACGCACATTTGTAAAGCATATGTGAAAAATGTCATGCATGAAGGGTATGAAATATTTGTTGTCGTGGCTGAGGCTAGTTGTGTGAAATATCATAGGACAGGGAGAATAATTTTAAGAGAAACCGCTGGGGAGAACGTGAGCTGCTGGTCTCAAGGACACCTCCACAATGCAAGGCACCAGGCAGTGTTTAGGAAAGAGGAGGGCATGGCCAGACTGTATACTCATACGTGCTTGGAACTGCATAAAGAATATCTGGAAAGGGGCGCCTGGGTGGCGCAGTCGGTTAAGCGTCCGACTTCAACCAGGTCACGATCTCACGGTCCGTGAGTTCGAGCCCCACGTCGGGCTCTGGGCTGATGGCTCAGAGCCTGGAGCCTGTTTCCGATTCTGTGTCTCCCTCTCTCTCTGCCCCTCGCCCGTTCATGCTCTGTCTCTCTCTGTCCCAAAAATAAATAAACGTTGAAAAAAAAAAAAAAAGAATATCTGGAAAGGGGTGCCTGGGGGGCTCAGTCAGTTGAGTGTCCGTCTTGGCTCAGGTCACGATCTCACGGTTCGTGGGTTCGAGCCCCACGTCGGGCTCTGTGCTGACAGCTCAGAGCCTGGGGCCTGCTTCAGATTCTGTGTCCCCCTCTCTTTCTGCCCCCTCCCCTGCCTGTGCTCTGTCTCTCCCTCTCTCTCAAAAAAGGAATAAACATTAAAAAAAATAAGAATATCTGAAAGGATACACAGGACACAGGCAGTTACCCGATGGGAAGGGTGACAGAGACTTTTCACTCAGCTTCCTTTAATCTTTTCAAGGGTTGTGAACTATGTAGGTCTATTACTTTTTCAAAACGTTGCATAAGAACAAGACAAACACAAAGCCTTTCACTCTGTGAGCGTGCATCTCAGAACGGACCTAGAACGTTCAGGGAAATGTTGCATATCTAGACTGGAGAAAACAATCTCGGAAACGAAACTTCCTCCCTCGAGCCATGAACTTGAGCACATCCCCTGGGCATGGAGCCATCCAGACTTCCCAGCTGGACGCTGCAGCCTCTTTCCCCCCTGGTCCCAGGGGGCAGTGACTGCATGTTCTTTATGAGGGGCTGTGGCTGCACCCTAATAAACAGGACATTCAACAGCACAGCAGAGACAGGACAATGAGCTAAGCGATGAAGGCCAATATGCCGCATCAACCAGCCTTGGGGGCTTTGACAGGGTCAAGGGAGAGATTGGAGGGGAAGAGCAGGAGTAGCTGCGAGCAGTGATGATAGCAGAGCCCCAGGTGTTTGTTCGGAGGCAGAGGAAGTAGCCCACTCCTTCTGTGGTTCTCCTGACATCGGCTCTCTCGAACTTTCCAAGGGAGACTTTGCTTGTGCAAGACCTCCTCTTGGGACACCCGCTCCTCCTTCTTAACTTAGCCAACACATACTGTTTCGTCAAGACCCAGCCTTGGCATCACCTGTTTGAGGAAGCCCTCCTCATGCCCCCAGGCTGGTCTTGGACCTTGTTGAAACTCCCTTGGTCTCATGATGCTCTTCTTGGTCCCTCCGGCTGGTATGTGTCCAAGAGTCTGTCTTGTGCACTGGCCTGGATCCCCACGAAGTAGAGTTTGTCTCTTTGCTTGGCCAGTACAGAGCCCATGCAGGGCTGGGTGCAGAGGAGGCCAATTCCCCCCCGGGCCCAGACCTCTTAGGAAGAGGTCCAGGAGGCCCACTTGAAAGCACGAGCTGGTGTCTGGGGGCACCAGTCGCTTAAGCGTCCGACTTCAGCTCAGGTCATGATCTCACGGTCCGTGAGTTCAAGCCCCTCATCAGGCTCTGGGCTGACAGCTCAGAGCCTGGAGCCTGCTTCAGATTCTGTGTCTCCCCCTCCCTCTACCCCTCCCCTGCTCATGCTCTGTGTTTCTCTGTCTCAAAAATAAATAAACATTACAAATAATAGTAATACAAAAAAAAAAAAAAGAAAGCACGAGCTGGAACTTGGCTCTGGAGCCGGGGTAGGGTCCCGAAGCAGGGAAGCCTGGTTCTGTTTCCGGGTGTGGAGAGACAGCTAATAGTCCCTATGGACTCAGAGCATGTCTACACGTTGGGGTGGTCCAGGAGCTGCAAAGCCTAGAGATCCCACTCTGCCAAGGCCCCTGCTCCCTGGAAGTTTCCATAGTGTCTCTCTTTTTTTTTTTTGGTCCCAGGCTGAAATGCAGGTCATGTGGGATCTGACACCTAACTCCAAAGTGGGTTTTCTGAATGTCACTGGGTTTGAAATTCCAATAGGTATTAAACTGGTAAAGGAGAATTAAAAGCAGACAATTTAATTTTGCAAAACAAATCCACAGAAATTGCTGAAGGGCCTTGCCTTTGTTTTGGCAAAATGAAGCCAGATGGCACTGCCCACGGTGATGGCAGCCTCTTGAGGTGGCATCTGAGGTTCACGGCCTCAGAGCTAGGCCAAGCCTATTTTTCTTGGCATCAGAAACCTCCATGATTTAGCGGCTTTCCCCAGGAAACTTGGGTCCTCCTCCAGCTCATGATAACTATTCCACGTGCAGGAGGGGGCCTGAGGGGGGGTAGACAGAGGTAGTAGACGTGAGTGGACCCCCACTTGTGGGCAGCACAGTCCCCTCAAACTTCCTCTCCTGGCGGCAGTCCCACAGTGGGGACCAGTTTTCCTTGTGGGAATGAGCCAACGGTTTAGACAACCAACTTTCTAGGAAGAGTTTTAAATTATGAGCAAACTCAAAAATTTTGAAATGCTTTGAACCTCTGGGGTTTGTGAATCTACCGTACTGGGGGCTCAGAATTCTCCTCATGGGCTCTGAGTCTGGGACCCAAACCCGTGAAGTGGAGGTTGTCTGGTATGGCTTTGTGCAGAAGCCCGTGGTAACAAAAACACAGCACTAACACTAACCCTTGCCCTTAAAATCTGTGACGCCAGGAGCATCAGGCAAGGGCAGAGAGCAAGGGCATGGGGCCCAGTTTACAGGCAGGAAATGGTGGGCTCGGGAGCCTGGCAGCTCACAGCCATCACCGATTTTCCCACTCACACCTCCGTGAGACTTATATCGTCAGAAAATAACCTGTACTGCTGACAGTGTAGCATGTTATTTATCCCAAATGAAGAGTATTTCTGTTCAGCCATAAAGATGGGAACATAAAATTAACAAAAACTACAAGGTAAATTTGGAGGCACTTTGTTTTACATTGTTACCAAGGTATGTAAAATATTTTATGTTGCCTCATATGGTCAAATACGGTACATTGTCACCATCAGTCATAAATCTTATCTGAAAATAACTCTTTGCAGGGGTGCCTGGGTGGCTCAGTCGGTTAAGCGTCCGACCCTTGATTTCTGTTTAGGTCATGATCTCACGGTTGAGCCCCACATCAGGCTCTGTGCTGGGTGTGGAACCTGCTTGGGATTCTCTCTCTCCCTCTCTCTCCGCCCCTCTCGCCTCCAACAAAAAAATAACTCTTTGTAGGAAAGCTGCACATCCACATGTATTTGGACCTTGACCTTAGGTGGTATACAAAAATTATTTCAAAATGGATGAAAAATTTAAACGTTAGAGCTAAAACCCCACAGCTCTTGGAGGAAAATCTTTATGACACTGGATTTGGCAATGATGACTTAGATATGATAGTAAAAACCACAGGCAAAAAGTAAAAAAAGGTACACTGGACAATATAAAAATTTAAAACTCTGCATCAAAGGATCAATCAACAGAGAGAAATGGTAACCTATGGGATGGGAGAGAGTATTTGTAAATCCTATATCTGATAAGGGTTAATATCCAGAATATATAAAGAAAGTGTACAGGGGGAGTCTGGGTGGTGCAGTCCGGTGAGCGTCTGACTCTTGAATTCAGCTCAGGTCATGATCCCAGGGTTGTGGGATCGAGCTCCACGTCAGGCTCTACGCTGAGGGTGGAGCCTGCTTAGGATTCTCCCTCTGTCTCTCCCTCTGCCACTTTACCCTGCTTGTGCGATCTCTCTCTCGCTCGCTCTCTCTCTCTCTCTCTCTCAAAAAAAGAAAGAAAGAAAACAATGCCTACAATAATAGGAAAAAATAACTCAATTTAAAAATGGGCAAAAGACCTAAGTAGACATTTCTTTTTTTTTTTTTTCTAATTTTTTTTAACGTTTTATTTATTTTTGAGACAGAGAGAGACAGAGCATGAATGGGGGAGGGGCAGAGAGAGAGGGAGACACAGAGTTGGAAGCAGGCTCCAGGCTCTGAGCCATCAGCCCAGAGCCCGATGCGGGGCTGGAACTCACGGACCGCGAGATCGTCACCTGAGTTGAAGTCGGATGCTTAACCGACTGAGCCACCCAGGCGCCCCAGTAGACATTTCTTTAAAGAAGACGTTCAGTTCAAATGACCAACAGCACATGAAAAGATACTCAGTATCAGTAATCATTAGGGAAACGCACATCAAAACCTCAATGAGCTATCACCTCACATTCATTGGGATGGCTACTATTTTTTACAAAACAGAAAATAACAAATGTTGGCAACGATACGGAGGAGTCCAAATCCTTGTGCATTGTTGGGGGGAACGTAAACTGGTGCAGCCACTATGGCCGCCATGGTGGTTGCTCAAAATATTAACCATAAAATCACCGGATGATCCAGGAGTTCCCCTTCCGAGTATATTTCCAAAAGAACTGAAAGCAAGGAATCAAACAGGTATTTGTACACCATGTGCAGAGTTGCATTATTCACAATAGCCAAAAGGTGGGAGAAACCCAAGTATCCATGGATAAATGGATGGATAAACAAAATGTGGTATATTCGGTGGAGTGATACATTGGAGTATCATTCAGCCTTAAAAAGCGATGCAATTCTGACACAGGCTACAACATGGATGAACCTTAAAGACATCGTGTTACGCGAAATAAACCAGTGACAAACGGACAATTCCTGTACGATCCCACTTATATGAGGTCTCTAGAGTAGTCATAGAAAGAAACACAATGGCGGTTGCCAGGGGCTGGAAAGAGGGGGAGTTTTGTAACGAGTTTAGAGTTGCAGTTCTGCAAGATGAAAGGGTTCTAAGATTAGGTGCACAGCAATGTGAATATACGTACCACTGTGAATTTCACATTTAAAATGGTTGAGGTGGTAACTTTTATATATTGTACACTTCACCACAATGTAAAGGCAGATAACTGTTTGCAGAGGGAGAGTTTTCTTTTTCTTCTCCCTCCTGGGTTGCTATCAGATCTGCATGGAGTGTTTCTAGGCGCCAGAAACCACCTAAATTCCCACAGTTTTTTTCCCCCATGGTATGTTAAAAGTCTGCCTTTGAAGACACGCTAATTTCAAAATACACTTTATTCCTAAACTTTAGTTAAAAGTATTTATGCTAGGCTTTTACCTCACTTAATTAAAAACAAAAAGGCCATGTTTGATGTGTGTTATGCTGTGTTTGAGGCCATCTTTCCTAGCCAGATGCATCCTCTAAATAAGACCAAGCTGTATTACTTCAATGTGGGTTCTTGATGGAAACAGAAAAGCAGCCATAGGCAAGTCCTTTCAACCAAGTGAAAGCTGACCCCTCATAAAGTGTTAAATGAAGACGGTGGCTATAGAGCAGGCATGATGATCCCCATTCTACAGATGAGGACACTGAGGCCCAGAAAGGAAAAGCGACTTGCCCCAAATTATGTCCACAGGAAAGCCAAGGCTGGCTCCCTATGAGGGCTCTCTCTCTGCCTTTTGGACCCTTGCTGCTTTGGAGCCAGTGGGTGGAGGTGGAGGGAGTGCATGCTGGCTAAGAGCCAGGATGCCTCCTCCTTCCCTGAGCCCTTGCTCCCCAGGCAACCTAAGGGCTGGCTCTTAGTTCCGTGGGGAAAAAATAGGTCAAACTGTAAGGGAACCGGTGGGCCTACAGGCACCAGCTCTGTGTGTCCTGAACACCCCACCCCAAGGTAAGAGCCAAGAAGGCCTCAGAAATCCCAGGCACCCCATCCCCAGGCCTGTTCCAGGCACTGGTCAGGGCTCCAGGGTTTAGCTCATAGGTGAGTCCTTATTATGGGATTTAACAAGAAGTAAAATGGATGCATATTATGCATTTAGCACAATCGTGAAATCAGTGAAATCAGGCTGGGTAGTGGCCCCTGGAATGGGGGGGAGGGCCTGGGTGGCAATGGTGGCAGTTCCCGAGGGCCTTCCCGCTGTCTCTGGCTCTTGGCAGGAGGAGGCCACCCAGGTCTACCGGCCAGCCCAGCCTCTGCAAGGGGCCCAGCCGGCACTCTGGGAGTGAACACAGAGGGAACGAGCAACCAGGGCAACCCCGATAGCCATCTGCTTCCCACCGGGGCTCAGGCCAAGAGACCGGTAGCGCTGGACAAACCCTGGTCACTCATTCAGTGAGCCCTCTCATTAACCAACCATCACCTGGTGGTTAGCCTTCTTATTAGCCAAGAGCATGGGGCAGGGGGAGGCAGACGCATCTCTGGAAACTGGGTACGGTCTCCCACTTTCCTCCACCAGGCACCGTCCCACGTCCCACCCTACAGAGTCAGCACAAACGTCCCCTCTTCCAGGAGGCCTTCCCAGGTGTCCCCCACCCCTGGCAGGTTAGATGCTCTTCCTGGAGGTTCGTGGTTCTGTGCCCACCCCCCCTCACAGCACCTATCTCTATGAGTTACAGGTGCTCTTTGTCTTACGGGAGAGCTCAGTGGGGGCAGGGAGCAATCAGGCAAGATCAGAGTAACATGGTAACTGTGGCCATAGTCCACTTCCCCTGCATGAGGTCCTGGCCTAGGCTCTGCGCATTGCATGCATTTCCTCTCCTGCTGTCCCCCCTCCCTGGAGGGCACCCGCGGTACTCCATTTTACCGGAGCCGACTCGGCTTCTCACCCATCCTTGCTGTGCACTAAGTCTGTGTCCGCGGGCAGTTTACTTACCCTTCTGAGCCTGTCTGGCCCAGCACCCATGCTTGTGACCACTGCTCCACGGGGCCTCCTGCGCTGGCTTCCTGCTTTATCTCCACGCACGCACAATGAGTTTTGAGGTCCTCTGGTGAATGACTCCCCCATGCTTTGCCCATCCTCTCCTTCCCCCTCGGAGAGCAGGCCACTAGGTTTGTGGGTGCTGCCACCTGGTGGCCACAGGCCACCGGGACATCAGTAGAGTGGCCTCCGCACAGTTTGGCCGGCTGCTGGAAGCCCGAGCCTCTCTTCCGAGCACACTGCCAGCCAGGCGGCAGGAGCACGTTTGCAGAAGGCAGGACAGCTGGACTCCAGAGAATACCACCTTCGAGGCCCAGCAGCTTCACGATCAGGCCCAAGAGTGCCATGGAATGGGTCCCAGTCCTGGTTCTGCCGCTTCTCAGATACGAGACCCTGGGGCTAGTTGACTAATTGCTGTGGGCCTCAGCTGCCTCATCTGTCAAATACGTAACCTTGTCCTCCTGTGTTAGGGCCACATGCCCCAGGCCATAACTTGGAGAGTCTTCCTGGAGCACGCCCTTTTAATTTCATTATCATTGAAAATGGAATTTATGTTAAATGCGTGCAAATTAGGTATTGCACTCCAAAATTATGTTCCTTTAAAGCAAAACCGGGGTCGGGGCACCTGGGTGGCTCAGTCGGTCAAGCTTCCGACTTCGACTCAGGTCACGATCTCACAGTCCGTGAGTTCGAGCCCCGCGTCAGGCTCTGGGCTGACAGCTCAGAGCCTGGAGCCTGCTTCAGATTCTGTGTCTCCCTCTCTCTCTGCCCCTCCCCCGTTCATGCTCTGTCTCTCTCGGTCTCAAAAATAAATAAACATCAAAAAAGAAATTTTAAAGCAAAACCTGGCCTTCTGAGAATTTGGGGTTTGTGCAGTCTGTTGGTCTGCTCCTCCAGCGTCTCTCACAAGGTGCATCTTCGCGGTCTTCTGCTGTTAAGGCTTCTACCACGAGCAGCCCTCACGTACCAGCTTTGAACCATGTCTTTGACGCTTGGCGCCTATCTCATTTAGCCCTCACACAACAAACTGTCCTTATTTCACAGAGCAGAAATCAGGTTCAGAGAGGCCAGGCAACTTGTCTGGGGTTACACACACACCTGCTATAAGAAGGAACCAAGCCTCACACCAGAGCCTGTGTGACCCCAGAACTCTCGCCTGCCCGCCACCGTAGAAAGCCCTGGAAACTGTTGTTCTGTCCCTGAGCTTTCCCAGGAGCACACGACAGAGACATTTGCTCACTGAGGTACACTCCTCGGGGGTCCCGACACCAACTAGAGAAGGCCATCCTGGCCAAGGGGGCCAAGGAGAGAGAAGCCAGCACTTGCTGTCCCCCTGCTCTCGCTGTCCCCTCAGGAGACGGCCAGCCAGTGACGAACAGGACTTCCTGTTCTCCTTCAGAAGACACAGCCCAGGCAAGACTTCCTCGTACTGATGGATTCCCTGGCTGTTTCAGTTCTCTTGCTAGGGAATGCTCTGAACCAAGGTCCTGAGGGCACAGGGGGTCATGAACACATCTCTTCTGCCCACCTACTCTCCCATGCCGGGGCTGGAAGTGTGGACAGAGCCCTTCTCTCACTGAGACATGGTCGCAGGGTACAATGGGAAGGCGGTGTCCCATCCCCAAGGAAGGAAAACTAAGACCCAGAGAAGGGATAGGACTTGCCCAAGGTCACAGAGCAAGAGGTAGCAAAGCCCCTGCCCGGATTCTGCCTATTGCACACCGCCCTGGGTTCCTGACAGGAATGCTGATATTCTGTGCGGATCCCCATGGGGACAGGCCTCCCCCCCACACACCTGGCCCAGCTCTGTGCATGCTGGAGCTTAGACAGCTAGTGAAGAAGATGCCTCCAGGGAGGCAGCCTGGAGTTAACGGTTGGTTCCCCCCAGGGGCAGATACAGTTCCCATCTCCGGAGGACCTGGTTTCCTGGGGGAGCCCTCGTGCTTGTGTCACACTGGCTGGGACACATGGGGACAGATGACCGTTTCGAGATTTTCCTATTTTCCTTCTTAGTTACTAAGCAACCAACTAGAGTCTAAATGCTCAGAAGAGATAAAGCAGACGAAGCACTGAATAGTGCCCAGAGGGGCTTGGCCCCCACAGTGTGGCCTGCTGAGTTCTCAGGGGCTACAAGGGTCATTCTCGAGGGGAGAGTAAGCTGTGGGTTGGGGACAGCGAGGCAGATCGGGAGACCAGCGGGCTGTACCACCCACCTGGATACCCCCCAAGAATCCCCAGGATAGCCCAGGTTTGATGGGAAAAAGAGGAAGGATTATATGCTGACACATTCTGGGGCCTTGGGCCGGGCACTGCCTCTCTTAGGGCCCCTGTTACCCCCTGTATACCATGGGCACCTGTCTCTTGCCAGCTTGGGGGGTACAGTGAAGGCAGTATGAATACACCGGTGGACACTGGGTCACTTCCAGGATGGCCGGGGCTCACAGTGCTGGGCAAGCATCTATCTCAGTCTCTTCCATGCTGCTCTGGAAGGCCAGCAGAGCCCAGGAGGGGTGAGCATAGAAGATGGCCTTTCTGCTGTCCTGTGGGACAGGCCGCCCACCATGAGCAGCCCTCACCCCCATCCGCTGAGGCCCTGCCCTTCCCGAGATACTGAGTGGACTGCTCTGTCACCCACAGCCCTCTTGGCCACCGCCGGCCCATCTGTAACGCTCTCCTCGCACTCTCCCACATAAGTGGGGGCTCCCCTCATTATCTCTCTGTTCAAAAAGCCTCTCCTTTCTAACAAGCCGGGGAGGCCTTCACCCCACACACCCACACACCCCCGCGGTTGGCAGCAGAGAAGAGTAGCAGCACCAGTGACTGGTGCCCTGGACACAGCTCCCGGGGTGCCTGGGGACAGGCTGCAGACCCAGGCAGTGTACTGAAGCCCAGCGGGGAACCCCACCCCCCCAGGGGCCAGGGCTAGCAAGGATCCCAGGCTGCGGTTTCTCAACCACTCAGCGCTAGGGTTGCACTTCTGCAATGGGAAATCACACGTGCATTTTCCTTCCTAACGGGAAAAAGGAAGAAAGCAGCAAAACTGATGAATGTTCTGACGTATCACATCCCCAAACCGCAGCCTTAAGTGCCAAGCCAGACCTGCCCTGGCAGGGACCCATTTGCTCCTGAGAGCTCATGGCTGCCGAGCCACAGCCAGAGGTGCCCCTGGCGGTAAGGTAGGTGGAGGGGGACTTGACACATAGCCAGGGGAGATGGCCCGGGGCTGGGCCGCGGGGGTAGGGGGGGAGCAGAGCCCCTGCTGGCTACTCACCAGGCACGTATCTCAGTCTCTTTCTGCTGTCTCCTCCCAGAGACGACACTGGTAGGGCTGGGTTCTGCTTCCCCAGAACAACTGGAGGGTCCTGGAGATGTGAGGGCCTCTTCCGGGGCTCTGCGCTGCTGGGGGATTTCTGTCGGCTCTGGAGCGCGCAGTGGAGCAGAGAGCAATGTCTCACGAGCAGCGGTGAACCCTCATTTCTGAGGGATTTTCTCAGGGTCTCTGGGATGTGAGATCGGGTCCTAGAAGTGAACTCTGAGTTTCTGGCCTGGCCTGAGGACTTGGATTCCCCGCTTGGCCATTCCGGGCCCAGCTTGTCTTTTGTAGTCAGGAGGTCTCCTCCAGGCTGGGGCCAGAGCGGGTTGTGGATGGAGACATGTGTATGTCTGTGCTTTAGGGAAAAGGGAGGGGCCTGAGGGGCCAGAGTGGAAGGTCTTCACCATGAACCTACTTCACCCAAAATGCAGAAGGGGTGGAGGGTCCCAGATTCAGACCACCTGTGACAGGATTCCAGCCACCCCCCCCCCCACACACACAGCCCTTGAGCTCTAGGCTCACATTTGCCGCGTACCTAAACTTGGTTTCACATGATTTTCATGTGTGAGCATCTCTTCATTGAGCCATTTGTCAAATGTGCCCCCAGACACATGTGGCCAGGCCCTGTTTGTACAGGGCAATGGGACACTGGGCAACAGGGCGGCTCAGACCACAGCCTGCCCCTGGGAATTCTCAGAGACAGAGCAGGAGGGCTCAGGGAAGACAGGACGAGGACCCACATAATTCTGACGTGTAATGAGAAGATGGATTGAATGGCGGTGTCCGGAAAGGGTCAGAGGGCAGAGACAGGAAAAGAGCTACATAGAAGACGCCACATTGCAACGGGGCCTTTCAAGAGGAGCGGTATTTGGTCAGGGTTTGGGATGGAGGATACATTCTTAGCAGAGAAAAACCTGTAAGCAGTCTGGTGCCGAGAAAGTGTACAATTAGTTATTCAAACCCACTCATCCCCTGGTTCCCAGTGAAGGCTCTGGCAGGTTCTGGGCCATATGGGGTTGGGGGATGTGCCAGAGAGTTTATATTCCTCAAATGCATGCAGGAGCAAAGCCGACTATTGTAAGTAGCCTTACTGCATGTGCCAGTGACATTCTAAAGGACAAATGATCAGAGATGGAGTTGCTGGAACAAAGGATGTGTGCGATTCACCCTGTGGCCGCCTTGTTACTTGGCCTCCACACAGCCCCTGTCAGTTCTTTTTTTTTTTTGAGCGAGCGAGCGAGCGAGAGAGAGAGAGAGAGAGAGAGAGAGAGCGTGCGCATGACTTGGGGAGGGGGAGGGGGGACAGAGCATCTGAAGAGGGCTCTGTGCTGAGAGCAGCAGAGCGAGCCTGATACGGGGCTCGAACTCACAAACTGTGAGATTGTGACCTGAGCCGAAGTCAGGTGCTCAACCAACTGAGCCATCCAGACGCCGTGAGCCCCTGTTGGTTCTTGAGTGACATCTCTCATGGCTCTCCACCTTCTCCATCAGGATCTGTCCTCTGCCCATATAGTGAGACATTCATGCCCAAAATACACTTGGCATGGGGCCAGGCCCATAGAAGCAACTTGGAACATGCTAGCTGTTTTTCTTCATCCTCTGGGTCTCCAGGGAGCCTTTCTGGTTCCCCCAGGAGCCAACTGGGCTTCCCTGTTCTGTCTCTCTCCATAATTCTTGATGCAAGAGGCACCTGTCTCCTCCCCCAGCTGGGTGTTCCGGAAATCAAGTTCTAGTTCTCCTGTTGCCTGTGCTCATTGCCAGCAGCTGCTCAGTGCCTGGCTCAAACAAGGGCCCAGCAAGGGTATTTTTGTGTGATGGTTGGATACGAGGAAGGTGTATCCTGTCTGTCTGTCCTTCCCTCCCCTCAAAACAGGGCCAGATTGTCTCCAGATGTCAGTAGGCCACCACCATAACCACACCGCAGAAGCTGGTATCCCATATACCTTACAAAGACAAGGAGGGGCATACTGACAGTACAGAAAAGAAAACTAAAGCTCAGAGTGGATGGGCGGTAAGGCCCGCTCACAGAATATGATCAAGGTGACACTGAGATTAGAACCAGTGGGGCTGAGGGGCGCCTGGGTGGCTCAGTCGGTTAAGCGTCCGACTTCGGCTCAGGTCATGATCTCATGATTCACGGGTTTGAGCCCCATGTCGGGCTCTGTGCTGACAGCTCAGAGCCTGGAGCCTGCTTGGGATTCTGTGTCTCCCCCTCTCTCTGCCCCTCCCCCCACTCACACTCTGTCTCTGTCTCTCAAAAATGAATAAACGTTAAAAAAAATTAAAAAAAAAAAAAAGAACCAGTGGGGCTGAACTTCCACACCAGCTTTAGCCTCGGTGTTATCCTGGCTTGAGCAGGACGACCGTGTCCACACTCCGTGCTCTGCTCTGTTGGGCTGGAGGGGGTCGGGGCCCCCGAGCCGGGCAAGCATGTCTAGGTTCAGGGAGTCACAGAGGTGTCAGGCTCCAACCACACTTCTCTGTCTGTGTTCCATCCTTCCCAGGCTCCCATCCACGGAGAAGCCCCTCACGGTGCTGCATGTGAGCCTGTACCACCCCACACAGGACCCAGACACCTTTGCCAACGTCCCACCGAAGCTGCAGCATGACACCAACCCGCTGCTGGTGGGGCGGGGCCCGGAGGCCCACCTCCAGCTGCGGCTCCCATGCCTCTCCCGCAGACACCTGTCGCTGGAGCCCTACCGGGAGAAGGGTGGCACTCCCCTGGCCTTCTGCCTGAAGGCCCTGAGCCGCAAAGGCTGTGTGTGGGTCAACGGGCTGACTCTGAGGTTCCTGGAGCAGGTTCCACTGAGCGTGGTCAACAGGGTTGCCTTCTCCGGCATCCAGATGGTGGTCCGCATAGAGCGAGGCACCTCCCTGGAGGCCTTTGTCTGCTGCTTCCATCTCAGCTCCTCGCCCCTGATTCACAGGCCCCAGGCTGAGGAGACTGATGAATGGGAAAGCAAACCCCAGGAGCAGCCGCCCCCAAGTTCGGGGCAGCGAGCTCCAGATCACCCGGGGCTTCACCACGGCCCTTCCCATCCAAGCCCTGGAGGAGGAACAGAAACACAGCTCCAGGAGCCCCCAGAAAGTATGCTCTACTAGCCCCGCCAGCGGCCCAGAGCAAGGCTTACCTGAAATAGAACTTGAACTCTTGTAGCTACATCATGTGAGGCTGACAAGCAAGACGGGCCTGGTAATAATGAACAGATTCTGCAAACACGAACAGCCTGGGCTGGGGGAGCACCCTCCATGGTTACAGCTACGTCAAGGAAAGGGAACTTTGTATACGTTAGAGGCCCTGAGGGCTTCTGAGAGCCTTTCTCAGCCTTTCCCCACATTTCCCCCGGCCTGTCTGCCTAGGAGTTACTTTATGTGGCTAATTTCGTGAGCCGCTTAAGAGCTGGAGTCTGAGGTTGCACGAGGAATGCATGGACACATGTACCAATTACGTTCGTGGTAGCTCGGGGTTACCTTGGGCTTTCTAATACCCACAGGCACTCAGGGCTTAGGGAAGCCTGTGTTTAATAAACTGTAAGTATTTCATTAAGCTGGCATGCCCAGTAGGATTCCCTGATCGCCAGACGGGGTGCGTGCACGCCACGTTGTCACGCAGAGGCAGGGGCGGGAAATACAGAAGAGGTGTAAGAGGAAATTGGAAAGGTGGGGGCTCACATTTCTGGAAAGGATGTGGGCAGAGCTCAGGGTTTCCTGGGGGCGGGGAGCTGGGGGCTGGGCCTGCCGGGAAACTCACTGTCACAGGGTCATCCTCACACTCCCTCCCTCTGTTATTTCTGGATCAAAGCCTTGGCTGATGGGAGGGCAAGACCTCCAGGGAAAGGTGGCTTCCCAGAGCAGAGAAATCTTTCAAGACTAAGTCCGTGAGGGTGGGGGGAAGAGGTTGTGGTAAAATTCAGCTCAACGGTAATTTTACTCAAAGTGGGTCATATACCAACGGGGGTGGGGTGGTCTTTCCAATATAAGGGACTAGTTAGTAAGCCATGCAGGTTAAGGGTGGGACAACTTCTCAGTGAACAGAGGGGCTGAGCACAAGTACCTACTCTCCACATCATCTCCATTCCAACTCCCCAGTGGGGGCTTGCAAGCATCATTGAGAAACAATGTTCACCCGTGCTGTGAAGGGAGGGACCTACAAACTCAGATGGCCATCATCATCTTAGACCATGCTCTAGGATATTGGAGACACTGAGCCTGGCAAGAAGATTCAGTTGGTCTGCCAGGCACTCCCTGAGCGTCCTCTCCATGGGGAAGACAGCAGTGGGCAGGAACCAGGCCTGTCCTGGCTTGGGAAGCTTCCCTTCTAATGGGGAATAGGACAAGTACACTCAGATTACAGCAAAAGGCAGAGGAGGGCAAGGGCTGTAAGAAGAAGGGGTGTCCAATGCTGTGAATGGCATGTGGGGCCCCCCCAAATGGTCCTTCACTCAGTTATTCAACAAACTTCCACCAGATGCTATGCAAAGCCCCAGGCGCAGTGAACTAGGCTGACAAAGTCCCTGCCCCCAGAGAGTTTACCTGGGCTCATGAAAGACCCCTGTTGAGGAACTAATCGCTGAATTATTTGATCACCCCTGTTCTTGGTGCTGTAAACATTGTGTTCTCTCTCTCTTCGGGCTGGTGTTAACATTAGTTCTACCATTAAGTGGCCATGTCTGGTGAGTGCTTACGTGTGCTTAGCCCTCTGCTAGGAGCTATGTGCCTTGCCCAGCTGAATCCTCAAAACACTCAGATGGACAGTGGTGTTAACACATTGTACACCTGGGGAAATTGAGGCTTAGAAAAGGTATCTTGCCCAATATCATGCCACTTACTGGCTGTGTGATGTTGGGCCAGGGACTTAGCCTGCTCTTGGTCTCCATTTCTCCCTCCGGCAAGTGGGTAAGATAACAGTCACCATTCACTGGTGATGTTATGACGGTCTTAGGAGCTCATAGTGAAGCATCTGTCACATAGTAGGCACTCAGGAAGGGTTAGATACCATCATGAAACCTGACAGAGGGAACGTGATGGGTCCGTACCCAAGGGCTCACCTGCAGTCTGTGATTTCCTGATAAAGGATTTTGCCTTTGCTGCAGCCCTGGTGGGCAGTCAGGAGGGGGCTTTAACCTGTTCCTTGCACCAGAAGGCCCGATATTTAGAGTTTGTTGGATGGGAGACACACGGTCGGGGCTGGCAAGCAGAAGAAGCCGTGTGCTGGGCGGTCTGATGAAGCCCACTGTTTTGGAGCTGCCTTTGTATTTCACGCACGGGTTCAAAATGCAGCGATGATCCCTCCGGAGACCAAAACGTTCTCCAAACTGTGTATAAGGGAGCAGATACAGAACAGGGAAGCCACAACCTGGAGACCACACCTGAATTTCAAAGGCAGAAAAGAGGAAGCCGGCTGGTGGCACGCTACCCCAGAGTCCCAGGGGGCAGCTCCCCTGCTCCAGCACGGAACCTCTACCACTCAAGGGGTGCCCCCCCCCCCCCCCCCCGGAAGAAAGTAAACCCTAGCCGCTGGGGGTCTATGAGAGGAAACGAGTTACCTCCCCCATGAGGAGTGGGAGATTCAGAGGGAAGTGTCTGGGAGTCCCTCCGGGCCCCAGATGAAGTGTGCAGCAGGCTGCAGGATGCCTGCCAGACACGAGGCAGGAGGGAGCCCAGACACGTCTGGCTCGTTGTTTCGGACTCTGCTGATTCACAAACTCTCCTTGGAAAACTCACCGTTTGCCTCGTACCAGGTTGCAGGGCAGCAAAGCTCCGCTCCGTGCTAGATTCCATCTTTCTTGACCAGAGAACCATTTAAATCACCAGGTCCCTGCACCCACCCGCATTTGCACACTTGGCCTGCACAGGCAGCCTGAGCAGGTTGGAAAGACCCTCCCAGAAACCTCCTCTGCATTCTCTCAGCTCCCACACACACACACACACAGGGCAGTGCGCGGAGGCGAGGGTGTGCACGTGCACGCACAGACACGGGCCACGCCCACCCGCTGAGGCGGCTCCAAGCCGGGGCTCTGCAATCGGGTGCTGCCTGGGTTGGAATTCCTACTCCACCGTTATTAGCTCTGTGACCTTGGACAAGTGAATGAATGTCCCTGTGCCTCTGTTTCTTCTTCTGGAAAATGGGAAAAGTGACAGCCAGCAGTGGTGGTAAAATGAAGCAGTGCATATAAAGCACCTAGTGTGGTGCTTGGCGCATAGTAGGTACTCAGTAGAGTAAGCTTTCACTGTCCAATTCGGCGGAATGAATTGAATGCGGGTTGACACATATACTCAGCATAGACACACATGCGTACGTCTGCTACAAAGGGCTACAACAGTTAGCCCTAGAGCACTACGATTCTCTGAAGGCATGTCCGGAAATCTAGAAATCACCCCTTGTGCCCTTTAAGACATCTTAACCTTCACATTCCTCTGCTCTTCCAAGAATGAGAGTCTCCCCAACCTGTCTGTAAGCGGGTCACCGTAACCTCCCGAGCCCCATTTCCAGGGAGACCTGAGAACTCCACATAAATGTGCAGGGCTCTGAGGCGTGAGCAAGCATGGTGAGGATGTGATGGCAGGACAGCACAACCGTGGCTGTGGCCGGGGGCAAGGAAGGGCACCGGACACCCCAATGCTGTCGCCGTAGTTTCTGTGTCTGTCTCCCTGTGAGACTTAGGCTCCACACAGATGAGGACCACGGGTGGTTTGCTGTTGTGTTCCAGGGGGCCGTTGGGGAGCTGGTCAGAGAATGGATGGACAGACAGACGGGCAAGGTGAGCTGTTAAGGCGTGAGCGAGGCAGGTGAGGGCATGGCCAAGGTTTGTAGTGGCAGGAGGAGAGATGGGTCGGCCAACTGGGGCAGCAGGGGCTGAAAGCCGTGGGCAGACAATAAATCTCTTCCAGCTCTAGGCCTCAGTGGGGAGAGCCCAGATCCTCCAGCTGGGGCAGAACACAGCTTGTGCTTCTCTCTGGGGCTTGAGCCTCTGCAGCCCAAGCCAGCCAGGATGCTGCATTTTTGATTCTGTGAGATGACTGCTGGGGAAGGTCGACAGATGTGACAGGTCCCCATGTGACTGAGAGACAGCTCTCAGCACTTCCTAGAGGCACATAGGTACCTCCAGGAGACCCTAGGAGGGGCTCCAATCACTAGGAGTCTTGAGTTGGACCGGCAGGATGGAGTGTGGGCCCCCAGCCCCCCACATCTCCTTGGATCTGGTTTGATACCTCTGCTCCACGCCCATATGATGGAGGCCACCCTCCACAGAACCTCCTCCCCCAGACACTCACTAGGAACACGCTGCCTCCCTAAACCGACACCCCACCTGCACAGACCAGAACTGTTCCTTGAAGGGATTCCCTGTGGCTTGGGAAGCTAAGCTATCACACTGCTGAAGGCATCAGTATTTCCAAAGAAAGGGCTGGACAGGGTAACGCTTACCCTGCAGGAGTGAGTTTCATTGTAGAAGGAGCGGCATCAAACGTTTCATTGTAGGCCAGGGGCGCCTGAGTGGCTCAGTTGGTTAAGTGTCTGACTCTTGATTTCTGCTTGGGTCATGATCTCACGGTTCGTGAGTTCTAGCCCCGCGACGGGTTCTGTGCTGACAGCGTGGAGTCTGCTTGGGATTCTGCCTCTGTCCCTCTCTGCCCCTACCCTGCTCGTGCTCTCTCACTCTCTCTCAAAACAAATAAATAAACTTTAAAAAAAGGCTTCACAGTAGGCCAATGAAGAAAACATGTCCCTTTCCCCTCAAATGGGTAGTCACTTCATAAATGTATAAAGCAAGACATAGTCAAGTGGCTGGTTCAAGGTCTCCCTGTGACTAAATAGAGCTGAGACAGGATTCCAATAGAGCTAAGAATGGATTCTTTGCCTAACAGCCCACTGAGCAGCTAGGCTGCTGTCAGCAAAGATGTGTGTAGAAGCAAGTAAGCCACAGGCAGTGTGGACAGTTCATCATCACCTCCAGGACCTTCCCCCACCCCCAAACTGGGCTGCGAAGGGGAGACTATCTACTCTATCTACTGTGTGAGCTCATTTCTTCCTCCTCAGCTTCTACCCCATGGCACCTGGTGATGCTGATGCTGCCATCGGGTTAGCTGGTCCCCAAACTGGACCCTCCAGCTTCCTGTCGCTGTGGCCGCCCTGCCCACATTCCGGCGCGCCCTGGTCGCTGGCCGGCACACGAGGCCCAAGCCTGTGCAAGGCTCTGGGAGAGGAGTAGACAGACCCAGCTCCTCCGCCTCTAAGTGGAGATGCCAAGTTAATGAACTCTATTCACATTGCAGGGCTGTGATCCCTCTTACCTTGAATGTGAACTCATAGGCGGATTAAAGTGAAATAAAACCTACCATTTGAATTACATTCTCAGCTGATTGGAAACATACATTACCTCCCTATGACCGGGCCGTGAGAAGGGAAGTTATTATCTTTCTTTAGAGTTTGTAAACTCTTTATGGCTGAGGCAGCTTTAAGCCCGCCGGGGGAAGAAATGATCCGGGAATAAATTGCTCTCATTTACCTTTGTTTTCCAATCACACGCTCCAGTGGGAACAAAACAT